AGCAGAGGGCTGCAAGAGGGCGTCGTGGTCAAAAATGGAACCCAGGCAGGCCGCATGTAGCCTCCCCAAGCTCCGTTTTCGCTAGCAGAGGGTTGCAGAAGGCTGTCACGGCCAAAAACTGAGCCTTGATGAGTGCCATTGAGCTGGCCTGCCCTCCCCTCTTTCCTCCCGAGGTCAAACGCAACCCTGATACGGCCTTCAATGAAATTGAGTTTGATACCCCTGCCGTAAATGGTCAGCATGTTTAATTTTGATGGGTCTAGTCTAGGATTGTGCAGTTCTGTCCTTACTTTACGTAAAATACATTGTAGAAGAGTTCAGCCCATCTTTTGATTTCAGTAGCATTCATCTTTGTAATGGCTTTGTAATTGTGCACCAATAAAAATCACTTGCCATTTGTCCTTAATTGAAACACAGATGTCTGTATGGTTTTTGAAGTACTTGGACATCACCTTTTAAAATGGATAATTAAGTCCAGCTATCAGGGCCTTCCAATCCATTGTGTGAAAAGTATAATACGGCAGGTAAGAGTCCCATATTCATATGTCATTAATTCAGGTATTAATATGTCATTGTCTAGCAGAACTTGGAGAGATTGTATTTTTAGATATTTTAGTCTTTTTTTTTTTGTAGTACCGTGTTTCCCTGAAAATAAGACCCAACTGGAAAATAAGCCCTAGCATGATTTTTCAGGATGCTTGTAATGTAAGCCCTACCCCGAAAATAAGCCCCAGTTAAGATTGTCAGCCAGACCGACACATTTGGAACTATATTTTCCCTGAAAATAAGGCCTAACTGGAAAATAAGGCCTGACTGGGAAATAAGGCCTAACACATTTTTGGAGCAAAAATTAATATAAGACACGGTCTTATTTTTGGGGAAAAGCGTTCCAACTATTTGTAATGTTAAGGAGAAACGTCCAGAAATTAATCATAAGCACACAGCTATGAAATACTGAGATAAGTTAACACTTGGAAAGAAGAATATTGGAAGAGTTCCACTTCAAAAAAATTAGTTATTAACATTCTCAATTGCACAAAAGCGGTGTTTTACAACCTGTAGCAGTAGATGAAATGACATTGTGCTATACCACTTAATGCAGGTAATCCTTGACTTATGACTGGTGGCTTACGACCTGAAGATCCCTCGTCAAACCCCTTCAATGGTCATGTGATTGAACTTCAGACTCTCGCAACAGCAGTTTTTTCACACTTATGACCGTTGCAGTATCCGCAGTGGTCACGTGATCAAAATTCAGACGTTTGGCGACAGACTCATATTTATGATGGTTGCAGTGTCTCAGGGTCATGTGTTCCCCTTTTGCAACCTTCTGACAAGCAAAGCCAATGGGGAATCTGGATTCACTTAACAACCGTGTTCCTAACTTAGTAGCGGCAGGGATTCGCTCAGGGGTCAAAAATTCCAGCAACCGGTTCGCTGCCCGGTTGCTGGGTGGGTGTGGCCATGACTGGCGGGGCCTACCGGAACTTCCTGTTTCCGGCTTCTGATGGGCCTCCAGAAGCCGGGAAAGGCCATTTTTGCCCTCCCAAGGGTCCAGAGGCATCCTCTGGGAGGGCAAAAACAGCCTCCCTCAGCCTCTGGAAGCCCTCCGGAAGCCGGAAACAGGCCCATTTCCGGACTTCCAGAAGGCCCATTTTTCCCCCTCCCAGAGCCTCTGTGCGAACCCTTCGCTTACCTCCAATGAAAATGGGCCACGTGGAGACTCCTGGGAGGGGAGGAGCAGGGGGGGGGGGCACTCAGTCGTTTGAAATACCAGTTCGGCGAACCAGCTGTAGCTTTAACATCCGGTTCATGCGAACCGGTCCAAACCGGTAGAATCCCACCCCTGGATTCGCTTAACAAAAATGGCAAGAAAAGTTGTAAAAACGGCCCCATTTAACAAATGTCTCACTTAGCAACAGAAAGTTTGCTCCACTGCGGTCATAAGTCGAGGTTTACCTGTACAATGTTACTTCCAGAGAAACGTATGGGGCCATACTCGTGAGGTTAAGCAACATCAGGAGTTCTGTGAATAACTCGGTATTAAAACTGTTGAATCCTGACCAGCGTCCTTGTTTTTGATGGTAATGCAATTATTCTCCGTCTGAATATTTTGCAATCAGGTATTGCAGGGTTTAGATTACCTTCACAGCAAATGTAAGATCATTCATACGGATATCAAACCAGAAAACATCTTGATGTGTGTAGATGACACCTACGTGCGGAGAATGGCGGCGGAAGCGACAGAGTGGCAGAAAGCAGGGGCGCCTCCTCCCTCTGGCTCAGCAGGTAGCAGCATTCAAAATTCCTATTTTCCGCAAATTTGACAACGCAGAGCTGTAATAGAACTTGAGTTGATTTTACTCAATGGGAACAATACATTTATATATGCTGAATTGGAAGGTGTAAATTTTCAATTGCTTTGCAATAGCAAAGGAACAGATATTTGTTGTGGTCTGTCGGCCACTGGCCCCCTCCAGCAGCCAAATCAGAGGAGGAGGCATGGGAGTCAGGATCAGCATCAATGCAGCCTGAGAGCTCTGAGGGGAAAGAGGGAAATGGAGTTGGCCGAGGTAGAGAGAGACAGAGGCAGAGCCTGGGCCGTCCATCAGCCCTCAGAACGTGAGTCAACAGCCCCCAGGTCTGGAGGTGACTGATGAGGAAGAGGAGGAACAGCTGTATCCAGTGCCTGATGTCCGGATACACAGAAGGCAGAGGAGAGGAGAGCAGTGGAAATCTATGGGCTAGTCCTTGGAACGAGAGTCACCACTAGTAGCGAAGTCCCACCCTAGCTCTGGGGATAAAAGGCAGGGGATGGAGATGAATAGATGTGGCAGACAACCATTCATCTTCCAGCCGGCCGGACAAACCCACACACACGCACACACTTGTGTAGCTAATGCCAGCTCGCCCTGGCTTTAAAAATATATATATCTACAATTGGAGGAGATCCAGATTTAGATATATACTGTATATCTAAGATAGGTCTTGGCAGCCCAGCTGGTGTGGGAGAGGACAGGGAAGAACCGGGCCGTGTGAGCAGTGGGCCGGCGTGCATGTGGGCACAGCTTGACTTGCACAAATTGAGCTGCGTGCGTAAGCCTGCCATTCGGGTGAGTTGAGCTGCGCACACGTGTGCTTTGGACCACTGCTCACGTGGCCCGGTTGTGAATAGGCCACAGCCTTGTCGTGGGTAGCAGTCCAGGGGTTGGGGACCCCTTGCATATCTGATCTGAGATTTTCCTTTTATGGCTCTTTTATGACAATAGCAGAAAAACTACCCTGTTTCCCTGAAAATAGGACCTACTCCGAAAGTAAGTCCTAGCTTGATTTTTACATGTGTACCCACTATAAGCCCCCCCCAAAAATAAGCCCTAATTAAGATCCCATCCACTCCAGAGTGCAGAGGTAAAAATTAAGCTAGGGTGGGGAAAGAGGGCGGCCCTACTTTCGGACAGTTGCAGCCAGGCCTCACACACCTCGGCCTGTTTCTTCTGCAGCTGGCAAGGCTTTCCTGAATGTTATCATCCTGGGAACGAATATCTTTCATGAAGCCTATGTCTCTCAGCTCCCAGGTTTTTCTGGAAGGAGAACAAAGCTTGGTGGAACAGTCTGGCATGAATTTGCTGTTTGGCTAGGAACGTGAATGTCCAAGCAAGATAGATGGGTGAATGACAGAGCTCTAGTGTTTTGAGAGGACCAGTGAAAACGTTTCCAGATGATGAAGACAAAAGTTTTTGAACATGCTTGGATGGCTTAGACTTGGGGCAGCCTTGGCAACTTTAAGACTTGTGGAGTTCAATTCCCAGAATTCCCCAGCAAGCTATGCCTTCTCCTCATAGAATAGGGTAGGGTAGGAGAGAAGAGAAGAGAAGAGAAACAGAATAGAATAGAATTAGGAGTAGAATAGAGTAGAGTAGAGTAGAAAAGAGAAAAAAGAAAAAAGAAAAGAAAAAAAGATGGAATGAATAGGAATAGAATATATGAAATGGAATGGAATGGAATAGAATTAGGAGTAGAGTAGAGTAGAGTAGAATAGAATAGAATAGAATAGAATAGAATTGGAATATTGGAATGAAGAATAGAATGCAGTATATAGTACAGTACAATACAATAAGGAATAGAGTGGAGTGGAGTGGAGTGGAATGTAGTGTAGAGTAGAGTAGAATAGAATAGAATAGAATAGAATAGAATAGAATAGAATAGAATAGAATAGAATAGAATAGAATAGAATAGAATAGAATAGAATAGAATTCTTTATTGACCAAATGTATTTGGGTACACAAGGAATTTGTCTCTGGTATATATCCTGTTTACTATTTTTTAAAAATATACACTTGAATATTCATAAATGTGATTCTAGCTGTCTCTTATTTTATTTTTTAGTGAGTACTGCCCCGCAACAAAAGCCTGTAAGTATTGCTACATTGTTGTTATTTAGGTATCTTAATTCTTTTGTTTGGATGGTTGAAAGATAACACTTTTTAAATTTCATTTATAAATCTTATCTGACGATGAGTCTTTTGCATAATATTCATCATGCATTATATTTGCCACTGGATTTTAAAACATGTTAATGCCACTTAGATTAAATGAAACTACTAAGTACAGGTAGTCCTCAATTTATGACCTCAGCTGAGCCCAGAATTTCTGTTGCTAAGTGAGAGAACTGAGTTTTGCCTCATTTTGTGACATTTCTTTCTACATTTGCTAATTGAATCACTGCAGTTGTTAAGTTAGGAACACCATTGCTAAATGAATCTGGCTTCCCCATTGACTTTGCTTGTCAGAAGGTTGCAAAAGGGAATCACACAACCCTGGGACACTGCAATCGTCACAAATGTGAGTCAGTTGCCAAGCATCTGAATTTTGATCATGTGACTACGGGGATGCTGCAACGGTCCTAAGTGTGAAAAATAATCATAAGTCACTTTTCTCAGTGCTGTTGTAACTTTGAATGGTCACTAAATGAACTTGTAAATTGAAGACTACCTATGTATGTTTCCTATGCCAAGATAGGTGGGGACAGGACCAGAGACAATTTTGGAGAAACTGATTTATTCCATCTTTCATATGAGGCAAACTGTCAGAGTGTGCACAGTGTGACTATGTGAGACAATCCAGGAGCAAATACAGCGGTTTATATTTAAGTAGAGGTTTTATCTAGAAAGAATATATACATACAAGTACTTTAGTCAGACAAACAGCAATCAGCAATTACAGCACAGAAGCGCACATGGACAGAGACATAGGCCCCAATAGGGCCTCTTCTTATTTCAGGCTCTTAAAGTGATATCAGCCCAAAAACCTCGCTGACTCATTTCCCAGCATTACATCATCATAGCAACTGGTCGACTCTTAAATCAATACCCTTGGAAGTGCATGTGTAATGTATACCTTGTTTCGCCGAAAATACGACCTACTCTGAAAGTAAGTCCTAGCTTGATTTTTACACGGGCACCCAATATAAGCCTTACCTGCCAAAATAAGCCCTAATTAAGATCTCGCCCACTCCAGAGTGGACGGGTAAAAATTAAGCTAGGGTGGTAATGGGGGGAGATGGAGCTGCTCTATTACTTATCTTTGGACAGTTGTAGCCAGGCCTTGCACACCCCGACACCTGCCTTGCCAGCCCATTTCTTCTTCAGCCGGCAAGGCCAGCAAGGCTTTCCTGAAGGCCTCTGTATCTCATAACTAAGCTCAGGATCGATCCAGAGCTCTGTTATCGGCTGCAGAGGCCTTCAGGAAAGCCTTGTCAGCCACAGAAGAAGAACTTCCTGAAGGCCTCTGACAGCAAAAATGAAGCCAGGGTTGACGCACGCGAGTGAGGTTAGTCAGTGGATGACTTCCCCCCAAAATAAGACTTGGTGCCTTTTTTTGGTGGCTCTCTCTCTATATATATGGCAGGATCTTATTTTCAGGGAAATACGGTAGTATATAATTATATAGTATATAATACAGGTAATCCTCACCACAATTCATTTAGTGACCAATCGAAGTGAACTGAACAAAGGCACTTATGACTGTTTCTCACACTTCCGGCCATTGCAGCCTCCCCCAAGGGTCACATGATCAAAATTCAGCCGTTTTGTCATCTGATTCATAGTTACGACGGTTGCAGTGTCTTGGGGTCATGTGATCCCCTTTGGTGACCTTCTGACAAGCAAAATCAACGGAGAAGCCAGATTCACTTAACAACGGTGTTCCTAACTTAACAACCGCAGTCATTCACTTAACGAACTGCGGCAAGGAAGGTTATAAAATTCACTTAACAAAGGTCTCAGTAACATAAATTTTGGGCTCAGTTGTGGTCAGAACTCAAGGACTACCTGTAACTAACTTCTTCTGGTATTACTACATAGACTACATTCCTGCCTGCAGTTGAGCATCAAAATGTTGTTCACCCAAAAATAGCTGTGCAACATATTTTTCTTCAAAGACCATATTTTCATAATTCATGACAAGTTGCTTGTGAAGGAGGGGAAAATTTCAACCACCGTTGGTGAAAAAAAAGAAGGGATCTCGCTAGGTTAGCACACTTTTTCTTAATAAGACTGTGTCAGGAATTTTATAGCAGTGGCCTTTCTTGGAGTTATTTCTGCATAGAAATAATCAGTGCTCTGTGTCATCCCCCCCCATAATCATCAACGTTGACTTCAATGAGAAGTTTAGCACTTTTTCTTTAGTTTTATACGTTTGCTAATTTATACCCATGATCACAAAAGAATGAAACCTGGTAGCATTTTAGACAGGGTCAATTAAATACCAAAATAAAGTTAGTAGCTGCATTTATAGTGGGAAATTTGAAATGATTTCCAGTATTTGAAGGGCTCCCACAAAGAAGGTTGGGGTGTCAAAATATTTTCCAAAGCCCCAGAAGTCAAGACAAGAAACGATGGAGACTAATCAAGGAAAGCAGCAACCTGGAATTAAGGAGAAACTTCCTCACAATGAGGGCAATCAACTAGTGGAACAGCTTGCCACAAGAAGTTGTAGGTGCTTCATCACTGGAGGTTTTAAAGAAGATACCTTGACAGCCATTTGTCCAGAATGGTATAGGTTCTTCTGCTTGAGCAGGAGGCTGGGCTAGAAGACCTCCAAGGTCCCTTCCAGCTTCTATTCTGTTCTTCATTGCCATTCTGATACCAAGGTATCCATGATTCATTTCTTAACATAATGCATTCTCAACACGAAAAAAACAACAGTTTGAAATGCCATCCTACGTCCTGCTTTTGATAGCTGGAAAATGTACTTTGGTACATTCCAGCTGGCCCATTCCCCCTCCCCCCCCCAAAAAAAATTAACCTTTGATTGGGAAATGGGTACATTTTAAAGGAAAGATTCCATATTATGTCTTAATAGAATGTAGCTACCCAAAAGTCTCAAAAAAACACAAACATTCTAGGATTGAGGGGGGGAAATAAATACCTTCTGCAGATTTATTTTACTTTAATTTGGTTTATATTTTTATTTTATTTTTATACCTTCATGTCATTTGATTAATTTTATTTGTATCCTGCCCTTATTGTTTTTACAAATAACCCAGCAAACACACACAATGCAGGTAGCTGTCGATTTACAATTGTTCATTTAGTGACCGTTCAAAGTTATAATGGCCCTGAAAAAGGGACTTATGACTGTTTTTCACACTTATGACCGTTGCAGCAACCCCTTGGTTACGTGAGCAAAATTCAGGCGCTTGGCAACTGACTCATATTTATGACGGTTGCGGTGTCCCCAGGGGTCCCTTTTGCGACCTTCTGGCAAGCAAAGTCAATGGAGAAGCCAGATTCACTTAATAACCAGGTTACTCATTTCATAACTGTGGTGATTCACTTAACAACTGTGACAAGAAAGGTTGTAAAATAGGACAAAACTCACTTAACCAACGTTTCACTTAGCAATAAAGACATTGGGCTCAAATTGTGGTCGTAAGGCGAGGACCACCTCTATACCTTCCTCCTCCTTTGTTCCCCACAACAACCCAAATCTCTCTTTCATGGCTAAGGCGGGACGAGAACTCCTGATTTCTAGGCCAACACCTTAACCGCTACATCAAACTAGAATTCCCATGGACAGGTTACTTTTCAGTTAAACGCGGTTTTTATCGGGCCAGATTTTTTTGCAGATGATTTGGAAAAATAGTTTTTAAAATGTGGATTTAAGATGGTTGATAGTGGATAGATGATCGTGTTAGCACAGGGGTGTCAAACTCAAGGTCCCTCAGGCCAGATGCGGCCCGGAGGATGCTTAGATCTGGCCCATGGGGGCCGTCCCAGAAAAAGTGAAGGACCAGCCTGCAGTACCTCTGCCAGCGAAAATGCTCTGTTTTCACTGGTGGAGGGCTTGCAAAACAAACTAAAAGCAAAACAAAAGGAGAAATGTTTCCCCTTTTGCATTTGAGCCTGCAAGAGGGGACAGGAAAGGAGAAAGGGGAAGAGAAAGAAAAAAAATGGGAAGAGAGCAAGGAAGGAAATAGAAGGAAAGAGGGGAAGGAAGAAGAAAGAATGAAGAGGAAGGAAGGAAGGAAGGAAGGAAGGAAGGAAGGAAGGAAGGAAGGAAGGAAGGAAGGAACCGGCATCTCCTCTTCTGGAGGAGAAGGGTTTGATGTTCTCCCTGGTCTCGCCTTCCTCTCTTGGAAACAATGGATTTCCCTCCCCCCCCCAGTCCCGCCCGGGCCACCACAGGTGCCCTCAACATGAGTGGCGTCAAGTTGGCCATGTCCCCTTCCAGCCACGACCCCCTTCGCCTCTCCCCAGGTCAAACACAACCCTGATGCGGCCCTCAGTGAAGTTTGACACCCCTGGTGTAGCATATTAAGGTGGTTTTTTAAAAAAATTCCACCAAGATAAGAGCATTTGTATCTAAAAATTAGATTTCTAGGATTCGAACAATTTCCTACAGTAAGCGGGTTTTCCCATCGCTTAAACGTACGTAATAATGGCAGATCAGGAACACTGAATAAGCTAATCGTGTCGCGCGATTTAAAAACGAATCTGTGGTTTTTCTTTTTTTCATCAGATTGGAAAGATATCTAAAAATAAAAAGAAGAAACTAAAAAAAAAGCAAAAGAGGCAGGCTGAGCTCCTAGAAAAGCGCTTGCAGGAAATCGAAGAACTGGAAAGGGAAGCTGAAAGGAAAAAAACGGAAGAAAACGTCACCTCGACTATACCATCCAACGAACAAGAGGATGGGTACCATCCGGAAGTTAAACTAAAAAGTGTAGAATTAGAAGAAGTGGCAGACGAAGAACCTGGGAATGAAGATGGTAAGTTAGTTTGTGTCATTTATTCAATTTATTTGGCTGCCCAACTCCTAGACATAAGCCTCAGAGACTTTATGTATGTCCACAGGTAGTTCTCAACTTACAGCCGTTTATTTAGTGACCGTTTGAAGTTAGCACAGAAAAAGTGATTTATGGCCATTGTTCACAGCAACGAGCATCTCCACGGTCACGGGATCTAAGTTCAGACGCTTGGCATCTGGTTCACATTTATGACGGTTACAATTTTCAATGGTAGAACTACTACTTAGGAAAAGATTGGAGAAGATTCATTTCTCTCTGTCTCAAACAAATCAAAATTGCACTTCAAAAAAAAAAAAGAGCACCTCCCAATGAACTAACAAACTACATATGCAGATAGTCCTCGACTTACAACAGTTCATTTAGTGACCATTCAAAGTTAGAATGGCACTGAAAAAAGTGACTTATGCTTTTCACACTTACGACCATTGCAACCCCCCTGTGGTCATGTGATTTACATTCGGATGCTTGGCAACCAACTCACATTTATGACGGTTGCAATGTCCCGGGGGTCATGTGATCCCCTTTCTCGACCGTCTGCCGAGCAAAGTCAGCAGGAAAGCCGGTTCACTTAACAACTGGGGTAAGAAAAGTCATCAAATGGGGCAAAACACGCCGAACAGCTGTTCTCGATTAGCAACGGAAATTCAGGGCTGAATCGTGGTTGCAAGTCGAGGACGACCTGTATGCTTAACCCCACCTTGAAAGTCAGCATTTTAAAAGATATTTTACCTCATGTCTTTTGTATATCTCTCAGGAGAAACAGAAGACCAAGATGAGAAAGAAGACACGGAAAAAGAAAACACCGAGAAAGATGACGACCTGGAGCAAGAATTAGCCAATTCAGAATCCGCTGATCCCGCTTGGATAGAATCTCCCAAAACCAACGGCCACATTATCGACGGTCTTTTCTCCCTGGAAGAACAGATCGAGGAGGAAGAGGAAGAGGAGGAGGAATGCCCCAACGCCGAGCAATATAACCTCGATGAGCCAAACACCAAAAGCGAGTACAGTTACGGTAGCTCTTACGAACAATTTAACGGCGAATTGCTGAACGGACGTCATAACATTCCAGAATCACAATATGATGAATTTTCAGCTTCAGTGTTTTCCGGAGCTTTAGATTCTGTCGCTTGTGGTTCAGTGGTTTCTGAAGAATCGACGGTAACCGAAAGAGAAGAAAGCACTCCATCCCACGACAGGAGCAGGACGGTTTCGGCATCCAGTACGGGAGACTTGCCAAAAAGTAAGCATTTTTGTTACCATAACGTCGTGTGATCGAGGTCTGTTTTAGAAACTCTTAAGTGAAGATGCTTCTTCTACACAGAGGGGTCCTTGGTACTCTCTGAGTTTGGTTGTTTTCTTGGAGATGTTTCATTACCCAAACTAGGTAACATCATCAGTTCTAGAAGGAAGAGTGGTTTGCATAGAGGAGGAGGAGGACCGTAGGGTTCTTGGTGCTCTCTGAGTTTGGTTGTGTTGTGACCCAGCCTTAGCAGAAACAAGAAACTCCATGTCACTCCATGTCACGAAAAACCACTCTTGTAAATTAATGACATTCACCCACCGAAAAGTCCAGGCAAGAGTCCTTCAAAGAGTTAACGGCAGTAACAGACCTTATCAGTTCCTTGCGATAATTGCCGTGAGCTCCCAGCCGAAAGGCTGCAAATTAAGTTCTGGCAAGCAGTCTCTGTAGCACAAAACACGATGAGCCAAATCTTCAGAAAGACACTCTTGTCTCCTATGATAACCTCTTCCCTTTCCTTCTATTTATTCTCCAGCCGGGGGGATGGGGATTCAGTGTCCACGTGTGCCTTCCTTCCCGAGGCGACTCCTTGTCCTCCGTTGTTCTCCTCTCCTAACAGCTCTGCGCATACGCGCGTCTAGAACAGGCCCCAGCTGTTCTTCTTCCTCACTCATGTCAGCCTCCAAAGGCAGCTGCCTCTCCGTTGGCTGGGAAATGTTGGATGGCCCTGGCTCTATCTCTGTGTCCAATATAGAGCATCCATCATAGCCTTCCCCAGACTTCAGAACTGGCCCAAGTTCCTGCCCAACCTCCACATCATCTGAGTCTGCCACCAGCTGTGCTGGCAGCTGGCCAGTGACAACAGGTTGTTTTCTTGCAGACCTTTCATTATCCAACAGTTCTAGGAGGAAGAGGGGTTTGCGAGGAGGAGGACTGTGGGGTCCTTGGTGCTCTCTGAGCTTGGTTATTTTCTTGCAGATGTTTCATTACCCAACTAGGTAACATCATCAGTGCCAGTCTGGCCTAGAAGACCTCCAAGGTCCCTTCCAAATCTGTTAACTCTGTTATTCCATTGGTTCCCCAAGACCTCCTGTGTTGTGGTTAGCCGGCAGCAGGTGCAGACGGCTGAGGAGAGCGAGGATTCAGATGAGGGGCCAGGACCATTAGGGAGTGGACTGCTGCCTTCAGAGATTGTGGGGGCTGGCAGCAGTGATGAGGAGGTTCCCGAGGAGCCTGTGCCCAGTGCGTGTGCACGCAGCATTGCTCGCAGGAAAGAGCAGCTACAACAGCACGGGCAACTCGGGAGTAAGGCTGCAAGGTAATGGCCCCTCCTTCAAGAAGATAAAAGCCAGCTGTGCAGCGGACGTTCTTTGCAGGAAGCAAAGACGTTTTGAAACTCAGCCTTGTGGATATTACAGTTAGTATTTGAAGACTCTTGTGTTGTAAACTGTTCTTATCTGTTGTTTTTTGGCAGCCTTGCAAAAACTTGGCAAGGCTCTTTCTTGTCGGAGCTAGTTAGTTGGAAGCAACCTTTTATCTGTGAAGAAACAGAATTCATAGTTGAAACTTTAAAAGGTTGTGCTGCTGCCTTTGTCTTGTGTTTGCTCTCTTGGAACCAGGTTTGAGTCTAGTTGGGTCATGAAATGTCTGCAAGAAAAACAACCAAGCTCAGAGGCTACCAAAGTCCCCTCAGTCCAACCCTGAGCTAACAAATATTCTTCTTTTTCTACACTTTCTGTTTGGGATCTTGAATCTGTCTAATGCTGAGACGGTAACCATGTTTTCAGAATAAACCTTTATTTAAGATTTGTCTGCAGCCGTGCATAGGCATGGACACATACCTATACTGCGGGGGGGTGGATGAGTAACGTACAGGTTGCAGATGGTTGCAGACCGACCAACTGCTCGCCTCCCAAATCAACAACTACACGTTATGTAGAAATGTGCGTCCTTGCATGCGGATTGATTGATCCGACTCCCTTCTTGTTTGTGCCAGAAAGTTAACATTCGCAGAAGTATAAATGCAACAACTGTGCAACTGTCTCTGAATTATAAGATGCGTACCTTCCCCGATGTGCAGGGCTTAAGTAGGGCTTACTGTGAAAAAAAAGAATAGAAATATGTCAATATTAATAAAATGTGTGCGCTGCAGAAATCTTTGTTTGCTACTATTTGATGGGACACACTCTTTTTGTATCAAAACATTGCTTTTTGGGTGGAAGTGAAAACTCTGTAATGAATATAGGGTACCTCAAATGCTTTTCTCTCTGTGTGCAATTAGTCCTCAACTTACAATCATTTTTTTTAGTGACCGTTTGAAAGTTACCGAATGGCACAGAAAAAAATGACTCATGACCGTTTTCACAAAGGTGCTTTTTTCAGGAGGCAACTGGACTTCTTGGTTTTTTCTTTTGAAGACGTTTTGCTTCTCATCCAAGAAGCTTCTTCAGCTCTGACTGGATGGTGGGGGAATGGAAGGATTTCTATTCCTTGCAGACAGCTGGTCATTTGCATCCTTTTAGAGGGTCGTTAAGGCCCCTTGGAGGTTTATCTGTGTCCTCAGGGTCGCCTGAGTAGTGCAAATGGTTCCTGTAGCCTGCAGTTTTTCCTCTGGAAATCCATTGCTACTCCCACATCATTCCAAGGGTGTTCATCCCAAATTGTGTAACTAAAAGTCTTGTAGAGATTCTCCGTCATCCAGGTCATGGTTATTCCAAAGGTGCTTTTTTTCAGGAGGCACCTGGACTTGTTTTTTCATTTGAAGACATTTCGCTTCTCATCCAAGAAGCTTCTTCAGCTCTGACTGGATGGTGGGGGAATGGAAGGATTTATATTCCTTGCAGTCAGCTGGAAAAATTGCAGATTACAGGAAACATTTGTACTATTCAAGTGACCCTGAGGACACAGACAAAACCTCCAAGTGGCCTCAACGACCCTCAAAAAAGGAGGCAAATGACCAGCTGTCTGCAAGGAATAGAAATCCTTCCGTTCCCCACCCTCCAGTCAGAGCTGAAGAAGCTTCTTGGATGAGAAGTGAAATGCCTTCCTTCAAAAGAGAAAAACAAGAAAGTCCAATTGTCTCCTGAAAAAAAAGCATCTTTGGGAAAACCATGACCTGGAGGACTGAGAATCTCTACAGACTGACCGTTTTCACACTATTGACCATTGCAGCATTTCCAGGATGACGTCTCCAAAACTCAGATGCTTGGCAACTGACTCATATTTAATGACTTCTATTATTTAAGGTGTGAACTTCAGATCAGTAAACGGGGAAGCCAGATTCACTTAACAATCATGTAACTAAATGAATAACTGTAGAGATTCACTTAATAACCATGTTACTGGTTTAACGACTGCAGTGATTCACTTCACAACAAGGTTACAAAATGGGGCAAAACCCACTTAACGACTGTTCTCTTTTGGCGGCAGAAATTCCGGCCTCTGTTGTGGGGTCCTACGCTGTATCCACAAGACAACTGATCTTGAAACAAGGATACTCAGAACCGATTTGGACTGTTTGTTAAAATACATCTTGTCAGGTTTTAGAATAGAATAGAGCTGGGAGGGACCTTTGGAGGTCTTCTAGTTCAACCCGCTGCTCAAGCAGGAGAACCTATATTATTTAAGTGGCTGTCTAGGCTCTTCTTAAAAGCCTCCAGTAATGGAGTGCCCACGATTTCTGGAGGCAAGCTGTTCCATTGGTTAAGAGTAGTGTAGTGGCCTAGAGTTGGAGTTCTCGCCTCACAATCAGGAGGCTGTGAGTTCGATCCTAGGTAGAGGCAGATATTTCTCTCTCTGTGGGCACAATGAGAATGTATCTGCTGAACAAAACTCTGCATTGGCGACAGGAAGGGCATCCGGCCAGTAAACATTCTGCTAGCTCCATTCAGTTGCCAAGACTCCACCCTGCAAGGGATTATGGGGTCGTTAGAAGAAGATGATGATGATGAAGCTGTTCCAGTGGTTAATTGTCCTCCTTGTTAGGAAGTTTCTCCTTAATCCCAGATTGCTTCTCTTCTTGATGAGCTTCCAGTCATTGTTTCTTGTCCTGCCCTCAGGTGCTTTGGGAAATAAATTGACCCCCTCAAATACTGGAATACTGCTAACTTGTCCCCCTAATTCTTCTTTTCTTTAGACTAGCCAGACCCAAATCCTGCAGCTGTTCTTCATATGTTTTAGTCTCCAGGCCTAATTTGTTTTGTTAATTTGGTTGATTTTGACTTGTTGATGTTGGGTGAGCATGTCATAAATGTTACTAGTCATATTCTTCCCATGCTGTTATTACTCTCGTCCAGTTGCAGCCGTGTGATAGATAGAACGGACTGTGAGCAACTTAAGTGTCATTTATTTCTCTAAGCAAGAATTTGTGGTACTCCATCTTCCCTCTCATACACCTGAGGGAAACACGTGGTTGTGTGTTCACCACTAACCCTCAACTTGCGACCACGATGGAGCTCAACATTTATGCTGTTAAGTGAGAAAGTTGTTAAGTGAGCTTTGCCTTACTTTACGACTTTCCTTGCTGCTTTTGTTAAGTGCAGTTGTTAAATTAGTCACATAGTCGTTAAGTGAGTCTGGTTCCTTCGCTTATCAGAAGGTCGCAAAAGTGGATCACATGACCCCGGGAGACACTGCAACTGTCGTAAATGTGAGTCAGTTGTCAAGCATCCAAATGCAAATCACGTTGCCATGGGGATGCTGCAACAGTCATAAGTGTGAAAAATGGCCATTAGTCACTTTTGTTCAGTGCCGTTGTAACTTCAAATGGTCACTAAATCAACTTTTTGTAAGTCGAGGAGTACCTGTACATTTTTACAATGTCTGTGTATTTTTCTCAGAGTTTTTTTATTTCGCTTCCAGTGCATTGAGAAAGATCCACCTTATTATAAATATCAAGTCAAGGGAATATTGTTTGTTTTCGGAGTTTGAGTACAGGTAGTCCTTGACTTATGACCTGTTTGTTTAGTGACCGTTTGAAGTTACGAAGCCACTGGGGGTGG